TTCTGAAAGTGCCTCTTAATTATAACTTTGCTCTGGATAATGACTCTGATATCTGAAATTGGAGTTCTTCGTTTCTTTTATCCCAGAATTTCACAGACTGTGGGATGACAGTGTGTCACACGTACACTTTCTAACAGCTAAGCTTTGCCACAGGCTTTCCACTGAACAACTACCAGCTCCTTTGTCTGGAAGAATAATTAAATCACAGCTCAAGGCTAAATCATCATGAATTTAACCTCTGCTGCTACTTGAACAATAATGAATGACTGAGGTTAGCATTGCTCTGGTACTTGTGTCACCGTGTTTGGGTATCTAAAAAAAAAAAAGTTTCAAAATAAATAGATGACACAGCAGCAGGTACATGTTGTATTTGTGCTCATGAACATCTGTTTGTTTCAGTGAGCTCCAATTTTTGTAGAAAGTGCCGTGAGCGGTGGTGAAGAGCATTCACTTAAGGAAAAAGAAAAAAGAAATGCTTTCTGGTTAGAGTGTGACTTGATTTACTGACCTTCTCGTATGAGCGCTCCCAAACCTTTCAAGGTCCTGTGGGCAGAGCTGTAAAGTCTAAAGTGATTAGCATTTTCTATTTTCTTATTGACCACCACAAGCCTCACTCATGCATACTGTACATCTACGTTGCATTTTATTTTAAGGGTGCAAAGCAGTTTCAGTATTTACCTGCCCTCAATGATCTAAGCACACAGAAGCAGCCGAATAATTCTTTGACAAGTGACAGGTACATTGTCTTCTTTATCAAAATGTTCCCTTTTCTGGAGAGTTATACAACTGTATGAACAACGGCAAATGCACTGCGAACATATGATATAAAAGAAGGCCTGCATAAGTATACATTAGACATAATTGGTGCTAGATTAGATCAAAAACAAATGCAGTTGAGAAATTTTGCACAGTTTAGCTACACACCTGACACGCTCATAGAGTACAAAGCAGACAAGGTGCAATAGAACCTGCATAGTCACTATATGCAGTCTTAAGTTGGTGAAAAGAATTCTAATGATCACTGTGCTTCTTTCAATATGGCTGTGATTTTTTATGAGAGATATTTAGGGTCATTTCGACGAACAAATTCTCACAGGCACTGTTTCCTAATAAAGAAGGGTGCCTCTAAAATAATAACAAATCTGACCTCTTCAACTTTCAACCCTGAGAGCACAAGTGAGTCCCTCCCTGTTTTACAAAAGCCTAATTGGCTACTGCAACACACAAAGTAGGGAATCAAAAAAAACAATAGCACCACCTGTTGGTGAGATTTCATAAAGAAACAGGACAAATAAAACAGAACACATACAGTGGTTTGCAAAAGTACTCGGCCCCCTTGAACTTTCCCACATGTTGTCACATTACAGCCACAAACATGAATCAATGTTATTGGAATTCCAGGTGAAAGACCAACACAAAGTGGTGCACACGTGAGAAGTGGAACGAAAATCAGTACATGATTCCAAACATGTTTTTACAAATAAATAACTGAAAGTGGGGTGTGCTAATTATTCAGCCCCCTGAGTCAATACTTTGTAGAACCACCTTTTGCTGCAGTTCCAGCTGCCAGTCTTTTAGGGTCTGTCTCTACCAGCTTTGCACATCTACAGACTGAATCTTTGCCCATTCTTCTTTGAAACAGCTCCAGCTCAGTCAGATTAGATGGGACAGCGTTTGTGAACAGCAGTTTTCAGATCTTGCCACAGATTCTGGATTGGATTTAGATCTGGACTTTGACTGGGCCATTCTAACACATGGATATGTTTTGTTTTAAACCATCCCATTGTTGCCCTGGCTTTATGTTTAGGGTCGTTGTCCTGCTGGAAGGTGAACCTCCGCCCCAGTCTCAAGTCTTTTGCAGACTCCAAGAGGTTTTCTTCCAAGATTGCTCTGTATTTGGCTCCATCCATCTTCCCATCAACTCTGACCAGCTTCCCTGTCCCTGCTGAAGAGAAGCCACCCCCAGAGCATGATGCTGCCACCACCATATCTGACAGTGGGGAGGTGGTTCAGAGTGATGTGCAGTGTTAGTTTTCCACACATAGCGTTTTGCATTTTGGTCTCATCTGACCAGAGCAGCTTCTTCCACATGTTTGCTGTGTCCCCCACATGGCTTGTGGCAAACTGCAAACGGGACTTCTTATGGTTTTCTGTTAACAATGGCTTTCTTCTTGCCACTCTTCCATAAAGGCCAACTTTGTGCAGTGCACGACTAATAGTTGTCCTATGGACAGATTCCCCCACCTGAGCTGTAGATCTCTGCAGCTCGTCCAGAGTCACCATGGGCCTCTTGGCTGCATTTCTGATCAGCGCTCTCCTTGTTCGGCCTGTGAGTTTAGGTGGACGGCCTTGTCTTGGTAGGTTTACAGTTGTGCCATACTCCTTCCATTTCTGAATGATGGCTTGAACAGTGCTCCGTGGGATGTTCAAGGCTTGGGAAATCTTTTTGTAGCCTAAGCCTGCTTTAAATTTCTCAATAACTTTATCCCTGACCTGTCTGGTGTGTTCTTTGGACTTCATGGTGTTGTTGCTCCCAATATTCTCTTAGACAACCTCTGAGGCCGTCACAGAGCAGCTGTATCTTGTACTGACATTAGATTACACACAGGTGCACTCTGTTTAGTCATTAGCACTCATCAGGCAACGTCTATGTGCAACTGACTGCACTCAGACCAAAGGGGCTGAATAATTACGCACACCCCACTTTGCAGTTATTTATTTGTAAAAATGTTTGGAATCATGTCTGATGTTTCGTTCCACTTCTCACGTGTGCACCACTTTGTGTTGGTCTTTCACCTGGAATTCCAATAACATTGATTCATGTTTGTGGCTGTAATGTGACAAAATGTGGGAAAGTTCAAGGGGGCCGAATACTTTTCAAAGCCACTGTAACTGTGCCTGACACATGACTGTCTTCAGTTAGCTGTTCTGGGTGTCTCTCATTGACTGGCAGCTGGTTCATCTGTGCTGCCAGATGCTTGTGGAGTGCAGTCAGCTTCTTCAGCCAGTAGATGTGAACCATGTCAGTGTCATGGTCCTGAGTCTGCCGACTCAGTGTTTCTTTATGCTTTTGTTTATTCTGAGTATGTATTCTGTTATGATTGGCCGTTTGTTTGCCAGAAAACCATCAAATCTGAAGGAGTGAGAGAAATTTGCCAAGAAAGAATGAGCTGTATACAGTAAATCATTAGCGAAATGTCTTTGATAGAAACTAGAATAAGCAAGTGCAAATAAAGTAAATTTAAGAACTTGTAAAATACATATAAGAAAAGGTCCAATAAAGCCACACCATAAAACACAGATAATAAAACATTAAAAACACAACATGGGTTTTCAACATTTGCTCTGTTGTTCCATTTTCCAAAGTAGTTTCAGTGAGGACAGTAGGTGCTCGTTCTGAAGTAGCAAAATGCCAAGACAGCAACAGTCAAAATTATGTTCTATAATAAGATTATTCAATTATAAAGTTTTGCTAATGGCACGCAAAGGTTTATTAAATTTTAATTTCATTAATTTAGAGTTCAGATTCAATTTCGTGTGGACATTAGAAGGATTTTCACCTTTGAACATACATTTTGATGGTCTGTGAGGTTGGTATGTTGCACAGTACTCTCATGAGTTTATGGACTATACATGCTGACCAGCAAAACAACAACAACACAAAAAAATCAGTCCACTCTTCTGTCTCAGAGAAGCAGACAGATTCAACATCAGGGGCTGAAAATCCAGCTCTGACAAACCTGTTGGAACTTAGGCGACATTTAATAATGCTATGGCGATTTGTGTCTTTATCAAAAAACAAACAAACAAAAACATTATTATAAGCTAAAGAAATTGATTCTTTTCTACTCTCCTGGAGTACTCAAAGCACTCTATACAACATGCCACATCATACACACAAGCACTCTACACTTTGTCAGGGATTTCTAACAAACATACACTTTCATACTGGTGGGGGTTAAGGCTGGGGGAGCCAGGAATCAAACGGCCAACCTTCTGATCAGCAGATGACCTGCTCTACCGCCTGAGCTACAGCCATCACCTGCAGTAGCCAAAGAAAAGAAAAAAACTGAACTGAGCTGAATGCATGTGTTTAGCGCCAGAGTTTGGAGGGCCAGGAGTGACAAAAATATGCCATTAAATAATTAATTAAACATTTCATTAAATAATTAAAACTGGAATTAATTAATTTAATTAATATTTCAATAAATATTTAAATGCCCATTCATTTTATTTAAAACATGTAATCAATTATTTATGTTTTCATTTCCAATTTTTTAATTAATGACACATTTAATTAACAATTAATTAATTAATACATTTTGGACACATTAAATTATTTATTTATTTAAATTTTTAATTATTTATTAACAGATTTAAATCATTATTTAATGGTGTATCTATTTAATACATTTTGGCACTACTGACCCTGCGGCTGTCTTCATGAATTTATTTTATCTGTCATTCTCACCCATCAAAGTCAGGGGGTGGAGTCCACACCATTGCTTTGGCCTGGTGGCCATGTTTTAGTGGGTGTTTCTCAGTGCCAACAATGGACATGTGGAAATAACTGAACTGTACTTTGAAATACCCTGTTTGTATGTCACCAAATATACTTTGAATATTTTTCTAGCTGGGAATGTAGTGTTTTAGTCTTGAAATATCTGGTCGGTTTGTCAAGATTTGTCAAGAAATTGGAATTAATTGATTAAATAAATATTTCAATAATTAATTAAATGCCCCTTCATTTAATTTAAAACATTTAAAAAATTATTTATTTATTTGTTTCACATCTTAATTTTAATTATTGACACATTTAATTAATAATTTATTGGTGTATTTAATTAATTCATTTTGTCACTCCTGGCCCTCCATCCGGAGAGTTGAAGTCGCGTTATCGCGAGGTTGGTCTTATTTTGAATTCAGGAGCAGGGCTTTGTTTACTTCCGGTGTACACAGAAAGGTTGGAAACGGCTGGTTCTGCAAGAAAAGGTACTAAATGTGTTGACAGTGGTGGTTTCAGCATTAACCGCGTTATAGGAAATGTGCTTTCGTCACTTTTTGTGTGTGTTTTCAGCGAGCTTTGCTTTTCTGTCCTGTTATACGATCACGACGGTAAGATAAGCATTTGGCCCTAAAGCTGAAGTTTACACAAGTAACAAGCTTGGCGCGTACGCGATGAGGAGTGAAAAAAGGCTTTCTAATGGACACGTGCTTTCACGCAGTCATGTTTGCAGCAGGGCGGAGGGGTCAGACTTCCCTGCCTTCTTGGTTTATTCGTGCTACTCGTATATGTGGCACTAAATATGCAGTAATCACACGCCTGGACTCAACAACACCACGTGTGACTCATGTCATGTTTGCATGTTTGTGCAGGTGTTAATGATGACGGTCCTGAATCTGTCCTTTGCTGCGTGTGGTTTCCTGGGGATCTATCACTTGGGTGCCATGGAGGCCTTTCTCCGGCATGGGCACAAGCTGCTGGGCTCCCTCGGGGCCTGTGCAGGTGCTTCTGCTGGGGCACTGGTGGCTGCTGTAATGGTCACAGCTCCTGAAAAGTTGGAGGTATCGTGTACAGTCCAGGGGTATGTGGGGTTAGTGAAACCCTCTGGTCTCTCTCAGCAAAATGGAGACAAACTGTTTCTCGCTCCTGATTCTCGCTGCTTCTTCTTTAGTACTGGCAGTTTTTATATGTGTACGGGACTAAAGACTTTGTCAGGGTGAATGATGCTCAGGGATACTTGCTGTCACACACTTGAAGAACCGTCTGTTTTAGTGATGCACACTGTAACAGCCGATCCTATAAAATAACAACTCAGATGTTAGCATAGGCAGAATGAGTAATTAGCTGTAAATTCAGGAATCTAGATGAACAACAAGCGATTGAGTGAAATGTTATTTACAAGGCGCACTGTGCTCATATATCCTCTGTTCTCAGTTAGTTCTGCAGATTTCAGACTTTGATTGCATTGAGATAAATCACCAGCTGTGCAGGAAAAAGGAATCTGTGAGTGTAGAGCTGAGTGAATGAGCTTTGTTAGGTGTGACTGAATGATATGACTGTGCTTTCATCATGGTGTTTGTTTCCTTCTTCCAGCACTGCAAAGACTTCACCTACAGGTTTGCTGACGGCGTGAGGCAGCAGCGGTTTGGGGCCGTCACACCAGGATACAACTTTATGCTCACACTCCGGTAACTACTTAGCAGAAGTCTCCTCAACAATCACCGGGCAATGTTACACGACGGAGGTGTTGATGTCTCCCATTGTGGACCTGCAACACATGTTGCTGTGAATACTGGTTGGTGGTCAATGACCAGCTAAAACACTGTGGCGATATTTTCCACCTGCTGCAGCGTCATAGCTCTGTGTCACGCAGTGGAAGGTGCACTGAGTTTGTTTAATGCCACAGTAGCAGTGGAATAGACAGATCCATTATCCCCTGAGGTTAACTTGCAGTTACTTTTATGATCCTCATGTTTTGTACCTTACACCATTATCAGGTCAGAAAGCTAAAGCCTTTACCAAACCAGTCAGTCTCTTCAGATTCAACGGGCATGAAGCACAAGTAGTATCTATGGGTTAAAAAGCCTGTTTCAAACATTCCCACAGTTCACACTTCATGTCAGGACTAAACAAACTACGTAACCCTGGAGCACCGTCAGCTGTAGCTGTGCAAAGATGTTTGGTTCTTTCTAAACAAGTCACTGTTTGGCTGAATGGAGCCTGAGTAAGACGTGTTTGGCCCGGGTGCGATCAGGACTTTGTGGAAGAACAAGATTCGACTGAACTCTTAACACGTGCTTTCTGTCAGTGAGCTCGGGACGTCTGTCAGAAAGACTCAGCTGCAGGTCTGTTAATCAGAGTCATAATGTGCTTTTTAATTTTCATCTTGAGTTTTCAGCTTTGTTTGGTTCCAGTTTGCTTGCACTGTGCGGTTTCATGCTTCAGTTTAGTTTTTTCGTTTTAATGCAGTTATTATATTTATATACACTGCCAGTCAGACGTCTGGACACACTTTGTCATTTAATGATTTTTCATTATTTCTACTACTTTCTACATCGTAGATAAACTGAAGACATTCAGTATATTTAGATTCCTGACAGTAGCCGCCCTCTGCTGTGTCGACAGCATCAAACCCTCGGCCTTCTCTCAGTGAGCTTCATGATGTCGTCACCTGACATGGTTTCACCTCACAGCCTGTCAGGGTTCATTGGTGGAGTTTCTTGCCTTCTTAATGACGTTGGCACCATCGGTTGTGCAGCAGTCAGGTTGGTGCACAGCTGACAGCCCTATTTGACAACTGTTAGAGTTCATATTATGACAAGAACCAATCAGAGTAGAGAGAAACAACAGCCCATCATTACTGTAAGAACTGAAGCTCAGTCAGTCTGGAAAATTGCTAAAACTTTGAATGTGTCCCCGAGTGCAGTCGCAGAAACCATCAAGACCACGATGAAAGTGTCTCACGTCTCAAAGGACAAACGCAGTAACTGAAGCTGAAAGCACACAAAGGTGAAAAACTGAATAATAATCTAAGAACGACAAACAGCACCCAGGACTGCAGCACGTCAAAGCTTCTTAGCTGCTGATCTTGGCCCAGTATTCCTAATTCTTCCAGCTTTAGAGTCTCAGGTGTGTGTATGCTATTAAAACTCATCAAATTATTCATATTTAATGATTTTTCATTTGCTGCTGACCCTGTGTGAGCACCGAGTTTGTGATAGAGACAGAAAACAGGTAAAGAGGCAGGGGGCGACCTGCTGCTGGCGGTTAGTTTGTCAGCATCTATGCTTGAAGTGTAAGCTGAGGTGTGAGGAAGGCACACGGCAGCTGAATAAGGCCAGCAGGCTTCGGTCAGTGTAAGTGCTTGATAGCTTGATTAATAATCGCACGTCCCTGTAAAACAGTGTTTACGATGCCCTGTGGAGATGATTCCATTAAAGCTCTGACAAATGAACATCTGTGTGTGGATTTTCCCACAGGGAGGGGATAGAAGAGATTCTCCCCACAGAGGCTCACAGTCTGGCCACTGACCGCCTCTACGTCTCAATAACACACTCAGAAAGTGGCACGAACCACAGCGTGTCGACGTTTACGTCCAGGGAGGAGCTCATAAAGGTTCGCACCCCTCTCTGTAAACACACACAGTCAAACATGGTCATAAATGTTTATGATTGTTTTACAGCCTTGTTTCTCTCCAGTCTTCAGTTTAGTGCTTTTACTACTATAAATGACACCGTGCTGTATATGAGCTGTTACCTGACTGCACGCGCCTCGTGACCAAAATGTTGAGCGACGAGCTGCCGAACCAAGTGTTTTTCCTGGATAACTGTCCCCCTCTTGTACCTGTCCAGGTCCTGTTAGCCAGCTGCTTTGTCCCAGTCTATGCTGGACTCAAACCAGTAGAGCTCAGAGGAAAGGTAAGGGTTTATGCCGGTGTCAGAACAAAATCAATTGGTTCGTGATGTTGCGCAGGAACGAGCGACAGCTTGCTAGACTGATAAATCGAATGCTTTGCTGACTTCAGAGTATTCGGTGCTAGAAAATGTTAAGCATACAAAAGTAGATTATTGAGTGTGAGGATTATTTAAACTCTACTCTTTACTGGTAAAGACAACAGCCAGATATCACAGTCCAGGGTTAAAATGAGCTTTAACATGTGGGCATGAAAGAGGTTCTGAATAATACCCGAGGTTTTGTTACAACGAGCCAAAATGCCTGGTAAAGAAGATATTTGAATGTGTCTTGAGCCACTTTTACACATGAATTGTGGACGACGATGCATCATCTGAAGTTAATAGAGGCCTTTCCTTCAAACAGCACATAACAGGTCCTCTTCAGATGTGCTCTTACTGCTGGAAACCAGTGGAAACCCTGTTCCTTTGGTTCAGGTGAGGGTACACGCCACACCCACTCGCTGTAAATCCACGAGGCCTGTGCTGTTCTCACGTGGATGTAACCTGACATCACGTGGACGTCATAGAGCGGACAGCTTTCTCTGCTCCGGCTGCTGCGTGCACTAGATTTGAACGTGTCCGTGCTGGTTGGGTTGTGGGAAAGTTCAGGTTTGCAGGGCTTGTCTACAAAGTATTTAATGACAGGATTATTTATGCAGCTGTAGCTCAGGATGTCAAGCAGGTCATCTGCTAATCAGAAGGTTGGTGGTTCCATCCCTGCCTGCTCCACATGTGCTTGGGCAAGTTTCTCTCCAGGTCATCCATCAGAGTGAACGTCAGATGGAACACACCAGCTTCCCTGTCCTGTTAGCATGTTTGTGATTGTCTGAAAGTCTAAACAGCTTTCTTTGCTCTAAACCTTTTTGTAGCTGTTGTGTGACCAGAAGGCTCTTTGTTTCCTGTAGAAATGGATTGATGGAGGATTCACTGACAGCCTGCCGATCCTGCCTGTGGGACGAACCATCACGGTGTCACCCTTTGCTGGACGGCAGGATGTGTGTCCGATCCACAGGGGGCGGTTCAAAACTCAACTCAGCTTGGCCAACATGAACATAATGGTGAGAACCGGAGCATCTGATTGGTCTGTAAGGAGAAACCTGGATTCCCAGATTATTCTCCACCTTCAGCTTTTTACCATAACTGAGCAGCGTGTACGGCTAATAGTGCTAAAGATATGTGCCAGGCAACAAAGCTTTCTCACTCTGTGAACTTCCTGTCAGTGCACGTGGAGCACACCACCACCACCACCACCCAGTGCTCCAACCTGCTGGTTGTATTCAGCTTCTTCAGCAGCTTCAAATTTCCGGAGAGTCCGAAACCAAAGTGCTGCAGTTATGAAACGGTCATGTTCAGATATGTGGAGGGTGCGTTCAGACAGAACTGACCGGTGTCCTTCACACGGTCACAGTTCAGATATTAGTCTTTGACATTACGTTAACAATAACGGTAAAGAGTTCTGTAATCTTAGATGTGCTGCCAGAACCATAAATCTTTTGATCTCGTTAGACGATGAAGTCGAGCTGTAGATGTTATTTGACCTGACCCAGCTCACAGCACAAAGTGCAGCACGTCCAGCCGTGAATGGCTGCGTGTGCGTGCAGAAGGACGCGTTTCTGTCACTTTGTTGATGTGAACGCAGTCTTTCCGTTGGCTTCCTCAGCTTTCCGTGGAGAACCTCAAACGTCTGAATCAGGCTCTGTTCCCTCCGTCCGCCGGCGCCATGCGTTCGTTATGTGAAGAAGGTTTCACGGACGCCGTGAGGTTCTTAAAGAGAGAGGGCTGGATGGGCTGAGCGTCACACATGGACAAACGGAGCGTGTGAAGCCTGGAGTGTCGTTTACCAAGAAGGAATAAACATTTTCTGTATTTATACGTACTTCCTGGGTGATTTTACTCACCCAGGAAACAGACACATGCTAGAAAAGTAGCTGCACCGATGTTTGCATGCAGTGATGTTGAAGTGATTCAGCCTTTGACTTGGTGCATGTTTGGAAAGATGTAACATTGTGGGCTTCACTCAGATTACTTTGGTCACACAGGCGTCCTCTCTGTGACACATGTGAACCTGGACTTTTATCTTAGTTTCTTTTCTTTTGACTTGAAGCAAAGTGAAAAATATCGGATATCCGTGACCCGCTTCACAGAAAGGTTTGTGCCGCCCTCGTGGATGCCGGCGGCTCCCCCAGGACACGAGGCAGCACGAGTCTTTGAAGGGTTGGATGTTTGTGCAGGTTTGACTGCTGCTGGGTCACCGTTTGATTTCCTTCAGGAGCGACTTGGCGTGTGCGAGGCAGCAGTTACACACATGCAGCAGACTGCAGAGGACAGGCTGGGATCAGGATATTCCAGGAACCCTCAGTGGCATTTCCATCTTTTCTATACAGTCTTTTTGGTGAACAGCAGTGTGAAGGCTGCGATGGGGCTGTCGGTGCTGCTGATCTTTAAAACCAGGAACTCCATGTGTTCTGTTTTTTCATGTCCTTTAAATGCTGTTTGTTGTAAAATGAGTGATTTGAACGAGTAAACAAAGGAATGTCAAATAATAATGTTCTTGTCGTCGCTGTCATTATTCTCTCAGACCCGAGCCGGCTGTTGGGATGTCTTCGCTCCCTTATCGTCTCTTATGTAGCACGTCTGTTCTGACATGATGCCGTATGAAATCCATCATAGATACTGTGCATACTGACGAAAGTGACAGGGAGCGCCGCAGCTTCATTTTAGGCTCAAGACGTGCAGAAGTCCACCCAGGGATGTGCATCATGAAGAGTCCTGAGTAGTACAGAACCTGAATGTTGTATCGTAGTCAGTTAAACATTATTAGTAACAGAGATCTGTGAAGATCTGCTGCAAACACAGAGGTCATCCTACTGTCATCAGTCAACTTTTATTCTTACCTTTAACAACAAAGTCTTCAACACTAATGTCAACAGACAAACATGACCTGAGTGACCAGGACAGGCTTGAGTTTGTGTTTGAGTTCTTACTGAAACGATTCAGGATTGTTTTGCATTTTAAACTTGTAACATCTAAATTTGATTTACACACACAAACACACACACGTATCCCACTTGTGCGTATTGTGTTATTATGTAAGCTCACCTGCTGCTTGTGGTAATAAGGCTCATTTAAAGCTTCCGCCTGCGGCAAAGAAACCCCAGCTTGTGTTTTTCTCCCTAATGTTGAGTCTCGTAATGAACTACAGTAGGGGACTGCTGTGTGGACGGAGGCCAGCTGAAGCAGCTCATTTGTTAGTGTAATTATTCAGCTGCTGACTTCAGTGTATGGGACTGAAAAGCTGTTGTTCACACCTGCAATGTGTTATTTGTGTGATAAGCCGTTCAGATCCACTGGAAAGCAGAGAATGCTTTTCAGCTCCTGGAAGTTTTTCATCTGCGAGCTGCACTGTCCTCTGGTCCTAAACGAATGCAGTGGAAACTGATTCTACAAAGGCCCAAAGAGGACGGAGGTCTAGTATTTATGCAATCCAGGAACATCCGTGCCCTTTGTGCTGTTCTGTCCACAGTTATTTGGGGAAATGGGATTCTGGGCTGTAACCACAATACTGCAGTAGAAGCTCCCGCTGTGCCCCGGGGCTGCTGGGAGATCCAGTCGGCAGATATGATTGGTACCTTTGCACAGGCTAATAAACAACTCCACAAGCTGCAAAGATTTCTTTGTTACCCTCGCCTCCACACTGAAGAAATAAGCAAAACATAACGGCTATTTCCTGATTGTTTTCTACACTGTACTATCTGAGCATGAAGGAGCGTGACACGTATTAAAGTATATGGCCTAAACTGAGGGCGAATCAGCACGCGTGATAGCCCACCTGTGTTCTCAACAGACGAGCTCTGATGTGACTTACGGTCTGCAGTCCTCATCATAGTCAGCCTGTCCACGTTCCCTCAAAGCAAAGAGCTCACGTCACTGCTGAAACACACCAGGCTACAGGTCTGTTAGCGATGCTGAGGGTTGATTTTATTATTTTTTTTTGCAGGCATTCAGACAGTGTATCCAACTACAACAGGGCTGTAAACTCCAGGCCTCGAGGGCCGGTGTCCTGCAGGTTTTAGGTGTCACCCTGGGTCAGCACACCTTGACCAAATGATTAGTTCATTACCAGGCCTCTGGAGAACTTCAGGACATGATGAGGAGGTCATTTAACCATTTGAATCAGCTGTGTTGGATCAAGGAC